GATGTCGGCAGTCTTGACAGTATTGACATTGGATAGGAGCCATTTGAGTTGCCTATTCAACTTCTACCAACAAATGTATGGGGATGAAGTTCTTCTTCTCCAACTTCAAGTACGTGACCAAACGGGAGGGATGGCAAAAGACGACATGGTCAATACATACAGCATATCCGCTCAAATGACGAACACATATAGGGCTCCGGCACCCACCTTTGGATCCTCCTTCTCTGGCTCGAGCAACAATATGGACGGATCCATGCGGCGCCGGAAGGCGAAAAGGGTGGGAACCAAGATGGAGGGCAGCGGCTATCGGCTGAAGAGGCTGGGATGCACGGGCTTTGGCGCGGAAACAATGCGGTTATGCGGATGTGGACAAATGTGCGAGTTCCGCGTGGGGTTTTGGGTGGGCTGAACTTGTGAGAGTCCTACGAAACAGAGGTCGGACTCATGCAAACCTTCCCAAACTTTTTATCCGATTTGCAGGTGTTTGGACACGCGGACGCGTCTACGCCACCTAAATGTTTGCAGGCGTTTTACGTTATTATAGAGATACCTAACGTACGTGTACATATGCAACGCGCATCACGCGCCCATGTACGTGCTGTACTACACGGCAGCACGTTCGGTTGACGTACCGAACGGGGGGAATATATGGAACGGATAAACGCGACGAGAAAGGGTGGCTTATCCTAACACTTTCCACGGTTTTCCGTTTTCTAAAAGGGGCTCCCACGCTCGCGCACATGCAATCCAGGTGTCCCGCTTTCCTGGCGCCGCTGGCGAGCTCCGTTTGGGCGCGTGTGTGTGATCGCACAGCAGCAAAGTTTGACAGACGCTTTCATCAAGGTCCACCCACTGACCGACCCCTCCTCTCCAATCACTAAACTAAACTGGGCCTCCTTTGGTCTAGAGGATAGGATTCTTATAGGATTTTTTCTTTTAAAGCCCTTTGGTTCATAGGAATGGATTCCTATTCCTACATAAAATTGGTTCCTATCCTCCACATTTCATAGGGAAATAAAAAAAAGCCTAGACTCAATGAAAAAATTCCTTTGATGTCAACCAAATGACATCTTGTTTCCTATTCCTATTCATAGGATTTAAGATACATGTCATCTCATTTCCTACAAGATTTCTTTCCTATAATAATCCTATTCTATGAACCAAAAGAAGCCTAAGTAGGAGTACTACTCTGCTCCAACCATCCGGTCCGGTGCGTGCCGATTGTTCCCTGCTAGCTCGTCTTGATTCCTTTCCGGTTACTGTCTTGTCACCTGTCCATCCCTCTCGCACACGTACCCCCTCCCTCCCCCGGGTTTCCGTGTCTCGCCAAGTTACTTTGGCGTACGCTTATCATCGTTGACCCGTGGATAAGCTCTCGCCCTTCTTTCACACTCCATCGCTGCCTAGAATATCTACTAATTAGCTTGAGCGTGGAGATCTCTGAGCTGTTCTCTGTACCACGCAGGAGCAAACGCCAAGCAGGGGTGAAAATGAGACTACAACGGGTGGCGTCTCGGGATAGGCTGGAACCGGATTCAAACCCTTTTTTCTTCTCATGACTG